CCGGTACCCAGATATTAGGTTGCAGTAGGGCTGGGGCAATTTCGCATTCAGCGTTTCGCATTTTTCACATTTTTTTCGCATTTCACTTTCTTATTTTTATATTTCGCCCAGCCCTGGTGTCCAAATTATTCGCTGTATTTTTATAAAAATTTACAACCAGCGGAAAAATTTTAACACGTTCTGAATGACAACTTTCCTCTTTGGGGAAACCTTATTTAGAATTCAAAGGTCAGTGTTTAATAAACTTTCAAATTTCCGCGCTCTAATTCAACTTACAATTAGACTTTCGAGGTTTTTCGAATATACGTTAAATCAATTAGGGGGAAAAGTGGGAGGTCTAAATTTTTATAAAACTATGGGGGTTGATTACAAGAAGAAAAGAAAATCTCTATGGGATTAAGAATAATTTTGAAAATTTATTTATTAAAATAATTAAAATTCTCAAGTTTACCAGCATTTTATAAAGAGTAATGCGACTTTTCGTTTTATCAATTTACAAACTACAAATGATTTTTAAAATAAAAATTAATAAAAATAATTATGAATAAGTATAAAAATTTACAGTAAAGTTAGAGATCATCGCTAAACAAATAAATTTTTACATTAATAAAATTTATTGGGAATCCAAATTTAGAATGTTGGAATAAAGGAATACTAATTTGAATAAAAAAATATTTTTATTTAGAATCACAAGGAAGGGAAAATATGTAAAAAAATTAATAAAAAACGATACTAAAATTATTATTCTAGTTTGTTTTAATTTATAATTTTTCTAAAATTAAATATTTCTGGCTTTTCATATATATGTATGTATATGAAAAATAAAAATAACAAAATATGCATCCTTGGTCTGGACAAGTTCTGTAGCCTACTGGGCTATTAGTACGGTTAATACTGTATCGACCTTTATTTTTATTAATACGGTTATTAATTGTTTCCGTTAATACTTGGCGGAAACAATTAATGTTAATTTTTTAAACAAAACGTATAAATAAAATACTAAATTTTTGATTTAGCTCTAAATATCACAGCTTTATTTATCGTTTTTGCCTTTTTATGTATTACTTCTCCAGACATCCTTTTTGACATTGGTTGAGTAATTCCATTACTTATAAAATTTCCTTTATCTTTATTATATGCAGGAGGACGTTCCTGATAAAAATCGTTGCGAGGAGGGCAGGGACAACTAGAAATTTTTTTTAATTGGAACTAGAATGTAAGCTAACTATTGGCCATCATTTCCATGTTGTCCAGCCAATCCTGGCATTCCAGGCAGCCCTGGCGAACCAGGAATTCCTTGTAATCCGGGAGGTCCGGCAGCGCCAACAGGTCCGGGAGCTCCGGAGAGTTTTCTTCAACATTGAAAATAATTGTTAAAAATTATTAAGCTTCAAAACATACGGTCCAGGACGTCCTTTAGGTCCGCATGGCCCTGGTCGGCCAGGCAAACCTTTCGGGCCTGGCTGAAATTCATTTATAAAATGCTTAATAAAAATATAAATTACCAATCCAATATATCTAATAGCATTTCTGCCAGGAGGGCCAGGTCGGCCATTAGGTCCTAAACGTCCTGGAAGTCCTCTATCTCCAGGTAAACCTGGAGGTCCTGGCTGAAAAGGAAATTTTGGTATTTTATTCAAAAAATGTTAATTAATCACTCTTGAGCGTCCTGCTGTTCCTGGAATTCCAGGCAAGCCGTTCGGTCCAGGAGGGCCTTGTATTCCTTTAATAAATAAAATTTTTTAGTCTACAATCTGCCTCACTATCAGATAGATCAATGAAAATTATACCTTATAACGAGGGTATCTTAAATAGGAGATATCGCTTAGGGGATATAGCTCCTATGGAATATAGCTCTTCCCATCCTTTGGCCAAATAAATCTTTAGACTTATCGTAAATTGAGGGGGATCTAATATTGTGTGTTATTATAGCGAACCCCATCAGAATTAACAATATTTTTGTAATTCTTATTAATTGATTTGAATAGTTTTACTAATTTACCCTGACGTCCAACAGGTCCTGGTGGTCCAGCAGGACATAATATACATCCTTGGTCAGGACCAGTTTTGTAGCACCCTCCATCAGAATTAACAATATTTTCTCCTTGGTTATTTAAAAGCAAAGCATCATCATCTTCCTCCAAATAACTTCCATCGTCCTCGTGTATTCCTCCTCCCCAAGGACGGCCTGGAGCACCAGAAATGCCTTGAGGACCTGGTTGTCCCGGAGGGCCTGGTAGACCGGGCGGGCCTTGAGGGCCTTGTTGAGGTATACATTTTGGTTTGGCATAACCGCTTGTCGCATAACCACCTAAAATTGATAAATGGAAAAAATGCTTTGAACTAAAATCTGTTTGTTGAATTTCAATTTTTTGTATTAATTTTTCATTACTTGGGCTTGATAAAGTTTTTAAAGTTTTTTATTGGCCCAAACAATTGGATTGGAAAATTCATTAAATGGGAAAAAATGAACGCAATCCAAAGCAGAACATTTAATACTATGATGGGTAAAAGCAAGATAGGCAATGGCCTAGCCAAGCTTTATAAGATTAGCTCCATCAATAAGAAAATTTTGAAAACCCAGTCTCCCTTTCAATTATCAAAGATCAGACCATAAATTTTAATTATTTGTATTAAATCCTTATTACAGAGGAGATCTTGAACAAACGGCACGCTGACATATCGGGATGGATATATCGGGATATTTCAATGTACGAACAGTTACCCTACTGATTTCGGGACCTACGTCCACTGGGTCTCGGATTGTGAGGAATAGAGTTTTATGTTTTAGAACAAACGTAAACACGCAAAAAATTATTTTTGTCACCCCAATCCCGATATGCCCGTCTTGATATGTCCGCACATCGAACAAACATTCCGATTATCGAGAATCTTGATTTTTTGAGATCTCGCTTCTTGATCTTCCCAATCCGGTCTTTTATTATTTTTTATTAAATCCCCAAAAACTAACTTGTAGCATATAAATTATTTTGAGTATTTGGAGGAGTATTTAAATTATATCCCCTTCCTTCTTCCACACTTCCTCCTCCAACACCTCCACTTGTCCATAAAGAATTTCCAAAATTATTATTAAAATTATTATTTCTATATCCACTACAACAACTATTTCCAGTCCAACAACATTGTCTTTTTATACGTTTATGACGATTTTCATCCTTTTGTAATATTCGAATCTTTGCCCATGCTTGATTGGCAATTTTTGTGAATTCGTCAATCTCTCCGTGTATTTCTTCATTTAAGAGATTTATTTCCTTAAAATTGAGAAATAATAATTTTGGGGGTAATTAAATGAAGGTTGAATAATAAAAAAGGATCGAGAGAGTTAAGATAAAAACGGTTTTCCTTGGTTGACTACAGTCTAAGATACCTTAGGGCTCATAACCAGATTCATGGATCTGGCATTTCAGTATGTTCGTGCGTATATCGTCTAGACGAGGGTGTTGAACCAAAATATACTTGCTATGAAACTTTTACGACATTTAGTTATGAGTTTGCGACACTTTTACTCTCCCGGTAGACATAGTGCAAGACCGGTGAAATTTCCTCCTAGCCTAAAAATAAGCTAAAATGACAACGATCAGTGAGTGCTGGAATAGCTGAGAGGTTGGCAACCTCAGTGAACTCTCGGGATCATATCCAATCTAAGCTTTTGTTATTTTTTGGGATGGGTTCAGCTGCTTTATTATAGCAACCTACTTAAGGCAGTAAATTCTAGTAAAATATCTCGAAATTTAAATAATTACTTTATAAATAAGTCCAATTATTGCCAAAGAAAAAACTACACTAATTCCACTAATTGTTGACCCAAAATTTATTAAATTTAATTTTGTAGGCATTATTAAATTAATATTTTTAAAGCTCAAAATTGGCTTATTTTTAAATATTTTTGGAGAGTTTTAGAGAATTTTTTGAGAATAATTCACATTTTTATATGTTGTATTTTTATAATTTTACCTTGAAAAAAGGTAGGTAAAATATAGCTAGAGGGGTTAAAGAGACATTAATTTATTTTTAAACTAATAAAACATTAAAAAACAGCATGAATTTAATTTTTTCTATCACAGTTTGACATTCCAACAATTTATTTGTTTGTTTTTAGTTAAATAAACAATAGGGTATTTTGTGCTAATTAAATGTTATTTAACCTTGAATGATTTAAAAATGTGGAAAAAAATTATTTTTTAGGAAAACCTGTCTAATTTAATTAATTAAAAAATAAATAATAAATAATAGAATGTCTTTAAAATAATTTTTATGACTAAAATAATTAAATAAATAAAGCTTTAAAATTTTTAAAAATAAAATACATAATATATGTTTTTTCATTATTTCTTTTTTCTTATATTTACATCTCTTCTCAATTGTTTGATGCTTTTTCTCTCATTGGTGTCCTCCTAAATTCAAATCAAAATTATACTTGATAAAGTTAGAATGATAAAATAATGTAAAGCATATAGCTATTTAATTCCTAAAGCTGTGCAGTAGGCGGCGTGTTGTAAAGGCTAACACATCAGTCCGGTCTACTGAAGATGCTGGTTCGCTCCCAGCAGCCGAATAACCTTTTGCACTAGCTAAAGGATAAAAATAGCTATAGCCCAGCTGCCTTACTATAATTGATAAAAAGATAAGTTAAAAAATGTACAGTCATTTGTACGTACGGAATTAAAGTATACTTGAAGCAATAGAGAGTGTAGGTAATTTAAGTGCACGTACAAACAAGACCCGAAGGTAATGAAGAAACCTTAATCTTATAGAAAAATAGTATACATATACCTATATTTAAATTTATTGTTGTAACGAAGAAAGGAGATATCACTCTAGCTAGTCTGGCTAACAGGCAAAACGCTTAATAGGCAAGAGTTTAAGATCCACTAAAGAAGAGTCAAGTCGGCGCTGCCGCTACCATGATCACCTAACCACGGTCTAATCGTCTGTACGGAAGCACTTATCAAGAAGGCACTTAGTATAAGCGGAGGCGCTTAACAATAACTGACAGTAAGTAGCGAAAAAACAAAGTAACAACCTCCATTATTTGTCATTTCCTCAACCTTTATATTTTTCTCAACCTTTATATTTTCCCCATTATGTTCATTAAAAAGAATTTCCAAGATTTTCTCTGTTATTTCTTCCTGTTTTTCTATACTAGCTACTTCGTATTTCTTTATTTCACTGAGTTTACTAACCATTGCAAAAATATTTTGGATCTTAATTGAATTTATAATTTAATTAAATTAATAAGATGTCCTTGGAGGTAACGCTAAAACAGCTAACCCAGTGGTCAACTACCTTTTTAAAAAACTGAGTTACATTAGAAAGAGTGTTTTAGGTTTTTATTAAAATAATATTAACCAATTCTTGTGTATTTTGACGAATTTTAATATTTTGAATCTTAAGTTCATTAAATGAAATTAGTAAACCATGCAATTGTTTTTTGATACCTTTACTATTTTGTTGAATATTTTGGTGATCTTTAAATATGTTTTTTTAAATTAAATTAAAGACACTTTAAAAGATATTTGTTGTTTCTCAATACCTCTGAGCTGCTTTAAAAATCCAAAAAAAGGAAAAAGGACTGGATACAGATTAGAGACCTGACTGGGAGTGTTGTACGAGAATCGAGATCTCGAAAAATTCTCGATCTCGATAACCGAGATTTTCAATCCAGATCTCGACTGGATCCAGTCTCTAATACAGCTCATATCTTTGATAAACCCAACTGTGGAACTAGAATATACAATTGCTCCGTAGATAATAATTTTTTAAGTTCCGATGGCCAGAGATCCAGAATTCCTACTTTTAAATGCTCTACAAAGCCAAATTTTTGAAAAATTTTCGAAGATCGAAAATACCAAAAAGTCTAAAATCAAATTTCAAAGCAGCCTTTTTCAAATGCCGTAAATGTTCTAATAGGAGCCCGGCTCCAATAGAAGCCCATGGCTATGCAATGAGACACTTTTTAAAAATAAACGCCCAGGGCTTCTATTAGAATATCCACGATAACAGTAAAATTTATTAAAAATTCTCTTTAATCCTACGCTCATTTTGTCCTCTCGAAGTTTCTCCTATATGAGGTGTGTGTTTTCGCTTTCTATCCACTCCAAAAGAGTGCAAAACAAGCAAAAATAAAATTAAAATAAAATAAATATTTAACATCTTTAAAATTTATTTTTTAAATAAATACAACTATTTTAATTAATTTTGTTTAAATGTTTTTAATTAATAGCCAAATAATTGACAGTTTTGTTTAAAGGAGGTGAGGAATTGAAGGGGAGAGATGGGGGGAGGGTAAGGAGGGGGAGAGAAATTTAAAAGTCAATCTCCTCATTCACTAAAGGAGTGGGGAAAGAGAGAGAGATGGAGGGGGGGATTTAAAAGTCAATCCCCTCATTCACTAAAGGAGTGGGGTAAGAGAGAGAGAGAGGGGGGGGTGGAAGAGAGTGGGGGAAGAGGGAGAGAGGGGGGGGGGAGAATTTTAAAATCAATCTCCTTATTCACTAAAGGAGTAGGGGAAGAGAGAGAGGGGGATTTAAAAAAACAATCACCTCATTCACTAAAAGAGTGGGGGGAGAGTGAGAGAGATGGGGAGGGAGGGGGGATTTCAAAATCAATCCCCTTACTCACCAAAGGAGTGGGGGAAGAGAGAGAAAGAGAGAGAGGGAGGGAGAATTTTAAAATCAATCCCCGCATTCACGTGAATCCTGACATTTACATGTAAATAAAATTGGCCAGCCAATTATTTCTTAACTTGCACTTTTAAGAGATAAAAGGAAAAATAGAATTATGAAATTTAAAAATTGTCTAACTGTAAAAACAATTATGTAATAGCCATAAATTTACCGTTTTGTACCGTTTTGATTCTCTTTAAAAAGTAAAGCTCTAGAGAATTAAGCAGTAATTACAATAAAATTTATACATTAATTTTTTCTTATCACGGCGCTTACTTTACTGTTTCTAATAAAAGATAAGAGAAGATAAGACATTTGGTAATAAATCTGCTTTATCTTTTCCTCTACATAAGTTTTTTCGGTGAGACGTACTTATTACAGTGTGTCAAGAAATAATGTAAGGATGATTCACCTAGAAAATTTAAACGCTTGGGCTTTGCTTCAACATTTTTATTATATTTGGAATGAATGGAGGGGGAGGCGATGCCCGGAAAATTGGGCTCTGTCAAATTGGGCCCCAAGATTTTTCGGAATTTTGGGCTCCAACTTTTTGGAAAATTGGGCTCCAGCGGAAATCTGTGCTTTAAGTAAAAAACGGAAAATTGGGCTCTAATCTTTTAAGCACGGGGGAATTTTGAACGTCGGAGTGGATTTTTGGATTTATTCAAAAATAACACAGAATCAAACAACATAAGCCTACAAAACTATAGAATACAAATGAATTGGACAAAATATGTCATTCAAAGGACTCGTCGAACTAGATCAAACGACACCAAAATCATCCCAATTCAATCATACTGAACAAAATTATGTTTAATATGTAGTACAGGGTTCTTTGCGCCATAACTTTCTTCAATCTTATCGAAAATTGATAATTCTTTTTTTTATTTTAACCCTAAGACTTTGAGAAATTTTTTGATACCAAACAATGGAAATTTAATTCAAAGATAGTAAAGATAAACGCTTCGAAACATCCAAACGCGTCAAAAAAACATTTTTAATCCCAAAGTTTAATTGATCATAACTTTGTTCAAAATCATCCAATCCAAAAGATTGTGGTACCAATCGACTCATCTCATTCACCTATTAAATAGGTATTTACAAAAAAAATTTTAATTTCTGCAGAATATTTTAATGCAAATAAAGTAAATTTAAAACATAAAGTTAAGTATTACGAGAGTGTTTGCTCTAAACATCTTTAACGATTTCATAACAGTCACTTGATTTCCTATCAAAACATGCCTCGTGAATTTTAGATCAATGTTTGTCGATTGAAAAAATATATTTAAGAGGGATAAAAATAAAGGGGCGCGTATAGACGTCCCATGAAATGCCCCACGAGCTTATACGTCGTCTTAAATTTAAGGGCTCGTCAGCTTAAAATCTAAAGATAAATTGAAGAAATACATATGTATTTGCTAGGGGTAAAAAGAAAATTTATATAAAATAAAATATCGCCATACAAGACAAGACTCTCGGCGCACTTAAGTAAGTTACGCCCAAATTTAATTGGCTTTAAAAATAGAAGCAACTTGCTCTACTCTTCATTTGATTTTATTCAACAAACTATTTAGCTAAGTTCGGGAGCGGGTTTAATTTTAAAAAACATTAAAAAATCTAATACAAATACAACAAATAAAATCTAAAAAAACAACAACTGGTACCAAAATTCGTACTCGTATTTTGTATATTGTAAAGCATATAGCTATTTAATTCCTAAGGTTATGCAGTAGGCGGCGGGGTGTAATGGCTAACACATCAGTCCGGTCTACTGAAGATGCTGGTTCGCTCCCAGCCGCCGATTAACCTTTTGCACTAGCTAAAGGAGAGAAATAACTATAGCCCAGTTGCTTTACTATATTCATACTATATGTATATTATATGTATATATTTATACCCGTATACCGTACTCGTACTGCCTGTGTACGAAGTACAAGTTATGTAACCACTCAAAAAAGCGGCAAGACGCCGGCGTTTTTTCTCAACAGGGAGTTGACTTTTGCGGATAAACCTTTTGGGGGTAGACCTTCTGGGTTGATCCCCGAATATTAACCGTTAAATTTTTAGTATTTATTTAAAATTTAAGGATGAAAATTTACAATTTAATTCTTTTAAATTTTTATTTCCTTCAATTTTTTTCTTTATTATTTGGAATGCATCCTGGAGAAGGTTCTTCAGGATCACAACCTGGAGAGATGAATCCGGGAGAAGGTCCGGGATCTCAACTGTCAGTAGTACAAGAGGTGTTGTTATTATAACGAAATAAAAAGTATAAAAATTTTTAATAGATTTTTGATCAAGTAACCGGACAAATTGGTCCTTTTATTCAAAATTATCATGATTTAAAACCTTGTAGTAGCGTCGAAGCTCGACAGCTAGGTAAGGGTTTTTTTATTTAAATTTATAAAAATATAATTTTTAACTATAAAAACAATTTATTTTTGAAAATAAAGAAACCCAAGAAATTGTTCAGCAATTCAATGTTGGAGAGCAATATAATAATTTGGTTGATTCATATAAGGATTTATTAAAGGAATACAATGAAATGAATGAAAATTTAGAATCCTTTTCAGCTTATCAGGCAAAAATATTTTGTATTTTTAATTAGAGTGCCATATTTTCCCTAAATGAGCGCCGGCCGCTCTATTTTCCAATCCCCTCTCAAAGGGCCGCTCTATTAGATACGGCCGTTCAATTAGATACGGCCGTTCAATTAGAGAAAATACAGTATATGATTTTATCTGAAAAGCTTAATTGTTTTTGCCAAACCGCTAAATGGAAATCCGAAAATGAAAAGAATTAGTAGGGTTGTCGGTTAACAAATTCTTCGGTTACCGAAACCGAACGGACAAATCGAACCGCAAATATTCGGTTCGGGTTGAAATCGTCTATCTTAAGTATGAAATGATTCTATTCAAAATAAATTTAATATCTCATTTGATAGAACGAACCAGGCTTCGCTCAATTTCTTAATAACCTAAACAATGATTTTCAAAACAACATAAACGACCAAATCAAGATTATAAAAGATATGCAAAAACTTTACGGTTATGTCAATCATCACAATCATAATCAAGCGATTCAACATGAAAGTAATTGACTTTAATATAATCTATTACTATAACTAACCGGAAATTTTGTTTTAATATAAATATATTTTAACTTTATGCTTGTGGGTTACGATTAGAGCCCGGAATTGTAATATGTACAGTCGAGTACGATACCGTCCGGGTACAGTTACGATATTTTTGTGAATCGAATAGCTTTATGTAAATTCACGATGTAGAAAACCATCGGGACAGAGAACCATCGGTCTGAGAAAAGGTCATTAAAAAGAGAAATTTTAACACGATAGGAAAGTTATATCGAATCCAACTATGTCTTAAAAGGTTGTAATATAAGCCTAGATAGATTGGATACCTTACTAATCGGATGGGATATTAACCCAGATATTTTAGTATTTAAAGATGAAAATTTACAATTTAATTCATTTAAATTTTTGCTTTGTTCAACTTTTTCATTAATATTTGAATTGAATTTAGGACATGC